TTCCACACCAGCAGCTTTAGCAAGTCTTTCTTTGAATGATTCTTCTTCAAGTTCTCGATGATGTGTTTGACACACCTTCGATGCTCCACTTTTGGCAACTCAGCTTTAACTGCAGCAATTAGTCCCTGAAAAAAAACAACAGAAGTTATTAGCTAAGAGACAAATTGTGAACATTAAAATACATGTATATATTGATTGAAAACCGGAAAAGGGAAGTTATTACTTACTCTTGATCTGTCAGAAATCATGACATAGTCGCTGCCATCACCAAGCCCTAAGTCAGCCTTGAGTAGCTTAATAAACCATAATCAATTGTCTGAATTCTCCGCTTGTACCACAGCCCACGCAACCGGATATATCTGATTGTTAGCATCATAACCGACGACAGTAAGCAAACATCCTTTAACAGCAGCTTTTAAGAAAGTTTCATCAAGCCCAATGATTGACAGATAAGAAGCTTTCCATCTGATCCTGAGGTTTTCAAAGCACACATAAAACCGATTAAAAACATCAAATTTGTTGGTATTTGGATATGTTTCGACAATAGCAGTTGATCGTTTGTTCCTCTTCAATATCTCTTGCACATAACCGCGGATATGGGAAAATTGCTCATCATACTCTCTCTCAAGCCATTTCAGAGCTAGAAGTCTTCCATTCTGCACTTGATTCCTTGTGCTCACTAATATTCAATTCTATTTGATAAGACTTTGAATCTCTTCAGGCATTAAGTCAGGATTTTGTCTCAGCTTGTCCAAGAAATTTTTTGCAATGACAAGACCCTTAAGCAGCTTGCATTTCCCATTAGGCATACAACTGTGATATCCATACTTTGTCTTCAAAACCCACTTCTGGACCGACTTATCATACGAGCAGTGTAGCCTCCATTTGCCACATCTATATCCAATTTTCGTTTTATCCCATCTATCTTGTCTAATATTCCTTGCTTTGTTCAGAGCATACTCTAAAACAGCCTCATTAAACTCATTGCCAGTAAAGAAAGTAGATCCCACAGTAAGTTTATCAATCTTCTGCTTTCTAATTCTTCTGTTTCTCAAGACCAAAGCATCCTCTTCTTCACTATAACTCTCTAGAATTGCATTTCTCCATATTTCTTCATCAACAAAGTTCTCTACAGCATCCTCAATCTCAAACTCATATTGCTCACCTATATCCTCTTCTTCTTCTAAATTTTTATCTTTCTTACTCTTCGGATTCGTAGCTGCCTCATTATTGCTTTCATTTCCTCCCATTTCATCAGGCTCTGCATCATCTTTGTCACTTTCCTTCTTCTCGCTTTCATGTCCTTCCGTTCCATCAGGCTTTGTACTTTCCTTCTCACTTCCCTTCTCAGCTTGCTGAATGAAAATATCAACTTCACCTCCTGGAATAGCTTCAGCACACATTCGCATTAGGTCGGCATCATAACTGAGCATTATGATATCCCTTACGGAATCCATATTCTCTTGTGGAAGCCTGTACCAAACATGTTCCATAAAACCGCCACCTAATCCATGCTCTTCACAAAATCTATCAAAGACACTCCAAGTCATGAAGTCAGGATCTACGATTAAACCTAGCTTCAAAGCTCCTTTAATGTAAACCTTCTTATCATTAAACTCCATAACTCCTCCATAATGCAAGTTGACTTTGATAATGTTAAATTCGCTGCAAAACAGAAGCAAATATAATCAAAATCATTGAAAATAAAAAACGAAGCATTGTTGTCAAAGATTGTCAAAAATCATGTGAACTGCAACGAAGCAATGTAAACGTTTTTGAGAGCTAAAAGCAAGCAATGTAGTCAATACCTCATCTCTTCCAGTAGATAAACACCTGAAGATGAACCTTCGATTTTGATTTTTGTTGTCTCTCGTTGTTAACTGATTGAAGAACCCGAAAATCGATTTTCCAGACTAAGAACACTAAAGTTCCCGTGTTTTGTCATAAGCGAGGGAATACGGGTCGGATAGCATTTTGAAGGCTCAGGTAGGGTTAGTCTTAGCACTCGGGTCGAACGCAGTAATCCAGGTAATCACTGTGGATAAACACGATTTACGAATTAAATCGTGATTTCGTGTTTGTAATTCGATAGGAGGGAATAGAAAAAAATTGACTAGTTTGGAGAATAATACAGTCTGGAGGGCTTTCCCAAAAAACTTTATCGAGAAGGAACATACTATATATCTATTACTAATAAAAGTTAATGCTAAATGCCTCTAAGACTATCCTCATAGGATTTAAAGATTTAATTATATTGGTACACATCATCATTATCTTTAGTTAATTATATATTGTATATTAAATTACTTAATTTTGTTTTTTTATTTTTAAAAGGAAAATTTCTAATTTTTAATTAATTTCGTTTTTGTTGTTATTAGAAAATTTTCAAAATTTTAAATTAGTTATTAATAAAAAAAAGTTAGAAAATAGATATTATTTTTCTATTTACAAGAAAAAGTAATTTAACATATAAATAGATTATTTAGAAAAAATCATATATATTAAAAAAATAATAATTAAAAAAATCTATTTAAGACCATCATTAAACTATTTTGAAATTTTAATTATGATAAACAATTATAATCTGAGCTACTAACTTAAAATATATTAGTTATGATCCATGTTGATGTTTTATAATGATGAAAGCGTCCACATAGAACATAGAAACTAAATTTGATTGATCAAAATCATCGTTTTTTATTAAACATAAAAAAATATTAAATATGATTAACAATTTAAATAAATTAAAAACACAAAATATATATTATCATAGTATAATGGAAAGTTAATATAAATTATCATATATATTTAAAATGAGTGATTAATTTAATAAACATATTAAAGTTAAATGGTTATATAAACATATAAAATTGTTATTTAAAACTATCAATACTACAAAAAAAAATTTATGTCAAATTAACAAAAGAAAAATTCATCAAAAAATTTGATATATAGTCTAATTATTTAGAAAATCAAAACAAAAAGCTTAACTAACCAAAAAATAATATATACTATTTACTGATGATAAAACATTTAACTAAGAAAAAACAAAACAAGAATTATTTATTATACCATGTCAATACAATTAAATTGAAAATTCATATCAAAAAGGTTAATTTAACAAAGAAAAAAAAAGAATCTAACTTGATATCTATACTATTTATTTAACAAAAATAATATAAATAAAATTAGTAAGAGAATAAAAAAACTTTAGTCATACTAAAAAAACTTAACTAACAAAAAAAGATAAATATTTAAGCTACTTATTTAAAAATCAGTATTAAGAAATTAATTAATAAATAAATAAAACGAAAATTAATTTTTACAAAATTTTATATTTAAAAAATTCATCTAAAAAAATTGACTTAATATATGACTAACTACTTAAGAAATAAATATAAACAAAATTTAACTAGCAAAATAACAAAAAATAAAATTATGTCTTCAAAAATGTCAATATTCTGTGTTAAAATAAAATAGAAATCAGTATCAAAAGAGGTAAATTATCAAAGGCAAAATTCGTATAAAGTAAAATTAGCTTGATATTTAGGCTAATATTTTGGAAAATCAACATAAAAATATGAACTAAAAAACAATGATGGTCTAAGCTTTTGAGATAAGTCCACATAAAATTTAAAATATCAAGTTATAGCATGTCAAAATAATATTATAATTAAAATTAAAATTTAACAAAAAACACTTATGTAAAAAAGATTAAATTAATATATATGCTACCTATTTGGAAAATTAATAACAAAATAGCTTAATTAAAAATATATATCTTTTCTAAAATGCAAGTATATCAAACATGCAAAAAATTATATAAATTAAAATAAAATATAAAATTACTTTAAAAGATATGTAAAATAACAAACAAACAAAATTTAAAAGAAAATTAGTTTGAAATTTAGTTCCAGAAAATTTATGATTTCTAAAATATTGGTATTCACTATGAATAACTATATAAAATTACAGTATGTTATACGAGTTTCTAAATCAAAAATATTATTTAAATTTACAAAGACTAATACTTTGGCTACGTCTGATTTAAAAACTAACAAAAAAAATACAACACAAGTAACTCTATATTCGAAATATAACAAGTAATAAAGTCTGATTTTTTTATACATAGCTACTACTTATAACTTAGCCAACATGAACAGCATATGAGTAACACTTTCTAAAATTTTATTTAAATATTAATGTATGACAATGTTATGAATCAAATTCAAATTGGAATATATCTATATAAACTATTCAAATTAAAACATGAATAAAACACACAAAAGATAAAAACAGTGAAAAAAAATGTGAAGACTCCACACTATCTTACATGTTTTTTTTAAAAAATTATCAAATAGTTAACTGAAAATAAAACAGATTTTATAAATTAAATAGAGATATAACCTAAACTTCGTATAAGATCTGATGGAGAAGCACAAGAAGCTTTACACAACTATTGTAGCATCCTAACAAAAGTAAATCTGAATCAACATGAATCGTATATTATGTATGCATAGTTACACAATATCACTGAAATATTTAAATCTTAAATATATATTTGAACATATAAAATCTTAAAAAAGAACAACTATAGAAATCTTAAGGATACAAGACAAAATACCAAAAGTTTAGTAAGCAAATCATTTTCTAAATCAAATATATGCACGTCGAAGTTGAATAATTCGTTAGGTGTCATTACTATGATTATACTTAATAAGATTTTAAATTTTCTAAGCAAAAAATAAGAAAAATTACAGATTATGTTTTAAAATTTTTTTATATAAAAAAAAAATTTCTATAAATATATTATAGTTTTTATAATTTAAAAGATATGAACCAAAAAAAGAATTAAATCAAATCATTAATACAGACTCGCACGTAACGCGAATTAAAAATCTAGTACATATTTAAAACGACGACCTTTTTAATTAATATATAAATAAAAATAATAATTATTTGAATAATTATTTATTTATTCTTTGTCACGTCCAAAAGAAAATATAAATAATATAGATACCGTTATGGATTCCGATCCCAAATACCCTACTTTCTACTCCGTCTCCGAGCTTTACACCAGAATCCTTATCTATCTCGACGTGCTCTGTGACAGGACCCAAGTTCCTTTGTTTTCGAACTGATTCTTACCGTCGAATTTGGTTTGTTTGAAATGGGTCTGCTTCCAGCTGGGTTATCGTATTGTGTCAAAAAAATTACTGTTTAAATATCGAATTACTGATCATTGGGGTTTTCGAGTTGCGATAGATCAGTGAGCTTCTCCGTTTGTTTTGATTGTATGAACTGCTGGGTTTTTTGAAAACCCTAATTTTTTTTTTTGTAATTAGGGGATATTTGATCTTCTCATCTGGTGATAGTGATTTTTCAGAGAAGACAAAAGGCAAGTTGATTTTGAGGCTCTGGAGCAACTGGAGAATCCAGATCATCATGCCACTTCAGTGCCAGTCATGAATCTTTATGTCAAACTAAAAGATATGCTAGAAATGGTGGATTGTCCTGTGAAGATTGATTTCAGGGATCTGTTACGGCCAGATTCAGCACAAACCGAGTTTTTCATCAGCGCACTTTTGAATTTCGGTCTACACAAGTATGTCCTTTCTGCTTCAAAAATGGAACTGATAAGACCAAAGGCAGAAGAGTTGACTCTCCTTGATGAGCAGCGGAGGCAGTGGGAGGCAAAGATTGCCCAGGTAACGCAAGAAAAACATATGTCCCGAAGATAGCCATGATCCTTTTTTCTTTTTTCTTTTTTCTTTTCTAAAGGCTATCCATACAGTTGAATGCAGAGAATTCAGAATTCGATGAAGCCTGCGAGAGGGATTTACCTTTTGTTCATGAGCTAGAAACGAATACTGACGAGCTCAATCAGAAGATATTAGGACTGAATAATCAGCAGCTGTCACTGCGAGAAACCTTCCAGAAAATGAGAGAAAGGAGTACACAAATGGATAACGAGGTAAGACATCGCAAGCTATGGCGTCAAGAGCTTCTTCCTAAAATAACCCCCGTTTATCAATTAAGCAATTTGCATATGATTTAGTCTGAGACGAGTTTTCTGCTCCTGACATGTGTATTTCTCTCTACAGATTTCCAAAGCAGAGTTTGAACTTGTGCAAACTGTCCAAGAAAATGCAAACCTCCGCTCGCAGATTGTTCAGTCCCCAGACAAATTGCAGGTATATTATTGTTCTTACCAGCACCAGTACTAAGAGAAATTTGTGTGTATACAAACATTAGCTCAAACGTGTGTTGCGGAGACAGGGGCTTTTAGAAAGAGAAGAAACAAGTGTTGGGGGAAACAAAGAAAGCTGAACAATCAGCAATGGAAACATTCCAGGAAAAGGCTGCCATCCTCGAGGTTTTATGAAAAGGTGTCTAATGAAAAACTATAGATTATTACTAAATCATTTTTTTTTTTTGATAAAATATGAATATAATTACCAAAGGAACGTTCCGATTACAAGAGTTTGGTGACTAGAGTGAAAAGGATGAGCCCAAAAAAAGATAAAAAGCCCTACCAATTACATAATAGCCGCTAGCGAGGAGCAGAAATAATAGAGAGAGCTGAGTCTTCATTCGAAAGCGAACCAGGAGGATAGGAGATCCGAGTTCCTGGTTCTGTTTCGCGCCAAGATTGAATCCCGTATTGATCTGTCAATTTGCCTGAACACATGGTCCACCGTATGAGAAGTACTCTCATGTAGCCGCGAATTTCTCTCCTTCCAGATAGAGAAGATGGTGGCGTGGGCAGCAAGCAGCTTGAGGATGAGAGGGATCTGAGGAGAAGGGTCCAACATCCAAGAGACTAGTCCCGACCAATTCAAAAGCAGGACAGTTGGCTCCCCTAGCCGTCGGAAAACTAATTTCCAAACCTGAATAGAGATCTCACAGTGGAGGAGGAGATGATCCCTGGTCTCGTCGTGTAAGTTGCAGAGACAGCAAGAAGCGTTGTTGATTTGGCCCCATTTGACTAGCCTTGTTCTGACAGGTAGTCTGTCCAGCTGCGCCACCCAAAAGGTGAAGGCATGTTTAGGAATGTAGCCTTTGAACCACACCGCTTTGTGCCAAGGAACGGGCGGAGACACCGGTCTGATTTCCTCCCAAGTATGAGCCGTGGAGAAGAAATCCCTATGTGTGTTACCTGTTTTCCAGAGGTAGAGATCCTCCCCTCTCTCGGGATTTGGGAGCTCAATTGTAGTGAGGGTGTCTATAACCTTCCGGATCAGGCTGTTGCGAGTAGCAGCTCGGGGAAGAGACCAAGAACCAGAGGTACAGGCAGAGGCGACAGAGCTTTGTAGAGGAATGCCCAGGGTTCGAGGTCCTTCTGACCCAACAAAATCCATCAACGGGCCTAAAGGTGTCCAGGAATCAAACCAGAAGCTGCATCTCTTGCCATTGTTTATCGTACAGGTTAGGAACCTCTTTGCGAGGGGTCTTAACCGCAGTATGAATCTCCATATCCACGATGAGTTACCTTTTCCTTCCGTTTGCCAAAAGTTTGTGCGCTTCAGGCGGTGCTCTTTAATCCAAGCGAGCCATAGTGACCCACTTGAAGAGAACAGCAACCATATGAGCTTCAGATTCAAGACTTTGTTCCACTGAGAGAAGTTCCGGAGCTCCAGACCCCCTTCAGTTTTAGGAAGGCAAAGCTGTTGCCATGATACTTTCGCCCCACGGTGGTGTTCTAAGCTGCCAGACCAGAGAAATCTACTGCATAACGATTCTAGAGATTTTAGGCAGCTCTTTGGAAGCGAGAAAGCAGCTAACCAGAAGTTTATTGAGCTATAAACCACCGAGGAGATCAGCTGCAACCTTCCTGCAAAGGAAAGGGTTTTTACTGACCAACTAGTGAACCTTCTTTTAAGAGCGTCAAAAAGGGGCGAGTACTCTGCTCTCTTCAGCTTGCGGTGCATCAGCGGTAGTCCAAGGTATCTGACCGGGAGTGAACCGAGGAGGAATCCGAGAGATGTGGATTCTATGGTTTCCGCCTGGTTCAATCCTGCAACATAAAGAGCAGATTTCTCCTTATTCATTATCAATCCTGAAAGCTCCGAGAACTCTTCCATGGTGCTAATAATGGCCTGCAGGGAGCTTGTCTTTCCATCGTAGAAAAGCATGACATCGTCCGCAAAGGAGAGATGAGAGATTTTAGGATTATGCGCCTTTGGGTGATAACCGATTATCCCATCATTGAACTTGGATTTGATAAGGCAGTCAAAGACTTCCATTGCCATAACAAAGAGGTATGGGGAGAGGGAGTCACCTTGTCTCAGACCCTTCGTTCCTTTAAAATAGCCGCAGAGACCCCCGTTGATACACACTGAGAAGCTGGTGGTGGTGAGGCACTGTGAGATCCAGTTCACAAAAGTGCGAGGGAACTCAGCTGCCCGGAGAACCTGGATGATGAAGTCCCATCGAACTGAGTCAAAAGCCTTTCGAATATCCACTTTCAGCAGACCTCTTTTCGAGGTGTTCTTATGATTAAACCCTTGGACAAGCTCAGTTGCTAGAAGTACATTCTCGACGAGGAGTCTCCCTTTCAGAAAAGCAGACTGAGTGTTGGAGATCATATTCGGCAGAATTGCTTGCAGCCGTCTCGCAAGGATTCTGGAGATAACCTTATAGACCGTATTGCAGCACGAAATTGGCCTGAAGTCTTTTAACTGATCTGCACCGGGATGCTTGGGAATCAGGGCGAGGATCGTGGAGTTGATTTGCTTCAACATCTGACCAGAGGAGAAAAATTCAAGAACAGCTTGAGTGAAGTCTTCCCCTACAACATCCCAAGCGGCACGGAAGAATTCAGGAGTGTATCCATCGGGCCCCGGGGATTTATTGAGAGGGAGGGAGAAGAGTTCTCTCCTTACATCCGCTGCAGAAACTGGAGCAGAGAGCATCTCCTTTGTTGCAGGATCACATCTAAACGGAGTAAGGGCGCCAATGGATTCCATATTCGACTCCGTGAGGGGGGCCTGATATTCGCCTAGAAGATTGTTGTAGAAGTCCACGCAGCAACGTTGGATCTCCTGAATTGTTTCGTGCTTAACACCCGAGCTGTCGAGGATGTAGTGGATCTGATTAGCTGATCGCCTAACTGCCATGTAACGGTGGAAAAATGCTGTGTTCCTGTCGCCACACTCAACCCAAGTTACTCGTGAGCGTTGGTGCAGAAAGAGCTCCTCCGCAACGGCAAGGTCCATCCAGTCTTTGTGAGCCTCTTTTTCTAGAGCAGCTATAGCGGGCGTTGGGGAGGAGAGGAGGTTGCGCTGGCAGATGGTGAGTTTGTCAAGCGCTTCCAGAACTCTCAGCTGTAGATTTGAATACTGCTCACGGTTGATGGTTTTGATGATACTCTTAAGCGCTTTCAGCTTCTTAACCAGACAGAACAGTTTCGTCCCCTCGAAGCGAAGCTCCTCCCATGCCGCCGAGATCCTTGGCAAAAAAACCTGGTGTTTAGCAATGAAATTGAAGAATTTGAATGGTATGTTGTTGTCCGCAAGGGAGCGACCGAGCTCGACACAAGCTGGGCTATGATCCGAGAAGAGGCTCTCCCCGAAGTGACCGCAGGAGTATGGGAAATTAAGAATCCAGCTGTCGTTGACTAGGATACGATCGAGCTTTTTAACGATGGGATTGGCTTCTTGGTTATTCCACCAAGTGAACTTGTTTCCCCTGTACGTGAGGTCAAAGAGTCCAGCTTGGTGCAGGCACTCTCTAAGCTCTTCCATCCCACTTGAGATTCTCGTGCTCCCCCTGGAGTCATCTTCCGGATCAAGAGATTGATTGAAATCCCCCAGGACTAACCACGGAGTTGAGGAAGTGACCGGGTTAGAAGAAAGGTTCACCAAATCTTCCCATAGTTCTCTTCTCCCAGTAGGACTGTTAACTGCGTAGACAAAGGTAACTGTAACTTCCTGAACGCACTCAGGCAGCTTCACCCGGCAGGAGATGGCCTGCTTTGATTTGTGGATAACCGAGAGTCTTACGTTCGAGCCCCAAAGAACCCATATTCTCCCCAGGTCAGAGAATTCATAGTTGGTGACATAGCTCCAGCCCGGGAAAGAAGAATTCAGAATCTTCTGTGATTTATGCTCCTTCACTCTAGTCTCTACTATACACCCAAAAGAGGCTTTACTACTCCTAAGCCATCTACAGAAGCTACTACGTCTAAAGGAATTGTTAAAGCCCCGGACGTTCCAACAAAAAAAGTCGACTATCATCAGACTTAGAGATGTTTGGGGCCTTTGCCCCGTGACATCCCCTCCGCCCTTTTGATTTTCTGATGCCGCTTAGAGACCACTTCAATGAGCCTCTCGCTATCCTGCGGATTATCATCTTCCTCAGAGTAGTAGCTAGGGTCCCCCGAGCTTGAATCAGAGAGCGCTGTGGAGGGTAGTTCCGAGTCAGACGGAGAGGATGGGACAGGGAGTTTTCTGCTAGAGGAGAGCCCTTTGGGTTTCCGCGTGGTTGCAGGGGATTCCCGAGTCATGATCTTTTTGCCTTCCGCCTTCGATTCTGGTTTATATTTCAAATTCTCCTGTAGGGAGGGGGGGACAACCGCTTGCCGTGTGGCGCTTTCCTCCTTTCCTTTGATTTCTCTCTGGGAATCAGTTTTCTTTTTAGCTCGTGGGCAGGTGTCCGTGAAGTGCAAAGTGGATTTGCATCCCGCACAGGTGATCGGAGCGGAGGGGCATCGGCGAAGCGAATGACCAATCTGGCTACAGAACTCACAGGTTGGGGGGAGCCAAGGAGATGATACCTCTACTCGCCGAGTTTCCCCTGACTGGAATCGCACATTGACAAGCTCCGGAAGGGGTTTCGAGGGGTCTATCAGGGTTAGCACTCTCGCCACTTCTAGGTTTGTCATATTGAGAGTTGTTGGGTGGCACTTGACTGGGTCGCCCACAAGCCCTGCAATGTGCTCGAGACCCTCCTCAGAATAGAACTGTAGGGGGACGTTCCGGAAGTCAATCCAGACCGGGGCGGAGATTAATGTCGAGATTTCAGGCGTCAATCCAGGCTCCCATTTCCCGACAAACATCGACTGGTTTTCTATGTGCCACATGCCCTGCGCTAGGACCCTCTGTCGAGTTAGCGGGCAGGAAATTCGTATAAGAAAGGATCTGTCATTAAGCTTCGAAACAGTGATGTCGCAAAGCCTTTTACTCCAGATGCCGTTGGTGATGGCGTGAAGCGCTCCCGGAGAAGGTGCTTTGCCATGGAACTGTGCCAGAATAAATTTCTCCCACCGGTGTTGATTCCTGGTAATGACTTCGTTCGGAATGGTGACGCAGGGTTCGCCTGAGTCAAGGGTGAAATTTTCCCCTTTCTTCACCATCTTCTTGTTTGAGGGGCTCACGACTTCCGCCCAGGAGGGCTTGCTGGATTTCTC